CATCCCCTAAGCTCCACACTTGTGCTGTTCTTGCACAGCTGGACATTTCACTGCTCGTTTAATCAGGGGAACTGGAAAACTGTTCTCTTTAGCCTTGATTTTGCATAGTAATCACTGACTTCCTGGGAGTGGAAATCAAGCTGATTGCTGCTTTTCATAAGATGAGGTGCATTTGCATGAACGTGAGCATTTCTAATGCATTTTCATCCCAAAAAAACCTTCACGGAGTTGGAAAGATGGAACAAAAGGCATTTACTAGCTCATGGCCCATGTTGTACAATTTGCTCTGCGGCGTGTCTGACATGCACCAACTCAACAATACAGCATGACACCAACAAGCCAACACTCCTCTTTAACTGTTTGTGCCTTTAGTGAATGCACTTACAATGAAGTGTTACAAACTGGTCCTTCACACTCTGTCACAGAAAGATGCAGAGATGCAAAGTGAATCTTCTCATTCAGGACCAAGCTCAGCACTGTGTTAGCTGATGCTGCACCTTTGCTTGTTTCACCAGCAAATTGCATGCAGCAGGTGCCTAATTCATAAGACCAAGTAGAATCATAGAATCATAATTAAAATCACTGGGTCCAGTCATTAACCCTACACTGCCAACCCATGTCTCTAAATGGCACATCCACACATCTTTTAAATCCCTCCAGAGACGGTGACTCCACCACTGCCCTGGGCAACCTGTCCCTGTGCTTGGCCACTCTTTCAGTGAAGAATTTTTTCCCAATATCTAACCTAAACCTTCCCTGGTGCAACTTGAGGCCATTTCCTCTCATCCTGTAACTTGTTACCAGGGAGAAGAGGCCGACCCCCACCTGCCTGCAACCTCCTTTCAGTTGTAGAGAGTGATAAGGTCCCTTCTGGGACTCCTTTTCTCCAGACTGAACACCCCCAGCTCCCTTGGCCACTCCTCATCAGACTTGTGCTCCACACTCTTCCCCAGCTCTACTGCCCTGCTCTGGACTCACAGGGAATTTGGCTACAGTGCATTGAAAATCCTCTGAGATGAGGTGCTTTGGAAATTATTACACTGGTGGACAGTCTCAGTGGTGCAGAAGCTATACTGCAAAGCACTCAGTGGGGAGTAGTGTTCACATCAGTTATTCTCTGATACATTTTCAGGCCCCCAGGAGCATCTTACTGTGTGGCTCTGGGTGAGCACGATCTCTTGGAAATGGATGGCATTGAGTACTATATTGATGTGGATGCAATCTTCATTCATGATGGCTGGAATCCCAATGACTTTGCCAATGAGTAATTCTTTTTATTAATGTCAGATGGTTGAATGGTACTTAGCATCCTGTCCCACCAGTGTTTATGTGTATATTCAGTCCAGTTCCCAGTGAGGCTGGATTTGTGGGAAGCACTGGAAGACGATGCAAGGGAGATTTCCCAAATGGCTTCCTCTCTCAGAGCTGTTCCACAGTGTCTATGTGGATGACCTCAATCTTGATTTGCCTAAAATGGGGAAAAGAAGGGCCTCGCAGATGGATCCCAGATTGAGGGACTCACCAGAAATCACATCACTGTGTGCATCTGATGAAGGGAAGCCAACAAGCAAATGGTGAAAGACTGTCTTAAACCCCCCCTCAGAGACATGCCTCTCTACCCAGGGTCCACTGAAATTCACTCAGAGGTTTGGGGCCTCTGAAGGAGTGGGAGATTTATTTGGGGGAGTTAGCTCTTTATCAGTTTGTACCATGATCTGGTGACTCTTAATTGCTCTTATTTTCCTGTCACCTGTGACAGCTCTAAGGAATAATTAATGACATCTGCAAGGCATTTGTCTGTCATCATGCCAGAGGCTAGAGACCTATATAAGTGACAAAATGGGAGTGAGGACACTTGTGGAGGATTTTCAGTAAGGAATCTTTCACCTATATCCTGTTTCAGCTATGGCATTGCCCTGCTGCACCTCGAATCTCCTGGTATGCCGATGGGTTTATTGAGCTGGGAGTGCTTCCACCTGAAGAAGAAATTTTTCCCAATAACTATCCCTGCTATGTTAGTGGCTGAGGGGTGGTTAGTGGTAAGTAAGAGGGAAGGAGGAGTGTTGAGGGTCCCTCCTGGTTCCAGGTAAAGCTTCCTTCCTCAGCCACTGGAGTTCCTGGACCAGTATCTCCCCCTTTCTCTGCTAGCAGGTGGCAGCAGTGCAGACAGACTGCAGGAGGTCATGCTGCCTGTGGTTGACCATGACATCTGCTCCCAGGATGACTGGTGGGGATCCCAAGGAAAATACACCATGCTCTGTGCAGGTGGAGATGGTGTGAGGGCTGGATGCAGTGTAAGAGCTGTTATTACCAGAGGATTTTCAAGCTCCACTCTTCTTCCTTCCTCTCTGACCTTGCTGTTCATTCGGTTGGGACCTGTTTTTACCATGTCTCCACCTCTAATAGCTCTCCCACAAATTGTGTCCCCTTTGCCACTTTCTGCTGCACATTTTCTAAACCAGACCTCCTCCACATTCCTCCATTTCCCCTCACATCAGCCAGCAGAGAGAAAACCTGCAAAACCTCAGGGCATGTCTCTCCCCTCTGATTTTGGAGAGGAGATTTGCCCTGTCTTCCAACATCATGTCTGATTGACCAGATCCCAGGGACTAAGTTGAGACTTTGGCAGTCGCCTCTGCCCTCACCCAAAGGATGAAGCTGTGTGGAAGTCTGTGCACTCCTCCAGTGCTGCTGTTGTGTTGCACCCTGGGCCAGGCAGTGCTCCCTGCTGCTTGTCACCCTTCTCCTCCCCATCCACTCTGTTTACATGGGCAGCTGAGGTTGCTGCAAGTTCTGACTATGTTAAACTGCACTGTCTGGACCAGGTTAGTTGGAAAAGGAAGATGCTGTGAAGTTCCTGTTATCCCAGGGGTTTCAGGTGGCCCCAACATCAAGGCAAGGAGGTTTGGGATAGGAAGGCAGAGGATATCTGTCACCTCTGCCTGTATTCCCTTCACTGCAGAGGTGGCTTCTGGTGAAAGAAATCATGCAGAGCTCTTAAAAAATTGTGGACAAATACATAATATGTGTGATGATGTAAATATATGAATATAATATGGAAACATGCAGAAATAAAACAGGTTATACAGTTATACATAGTACGATTACAGGTATAGGATAATTATAGATCTGTAGGTATTTAGTGTATTTTTGGTGGGGTGTAATTATGGCAGAACCTTGTTAGAAACCAGGTTCTGAGCCAAGCAAGAGCTTTTATCTTCTCCTGTATTTTAATTTGAGTTTGTTTCTTTTCCACCACCTTAACACCCTGGACCCTCTCAATATACCTGTTTGTGAGGAGCAAGGGAAGCAGCACCTTCCTTCTCCCCAATCTCTTGTAGCTGGAGAGTGCACTGATTTTTTGGCAGAATGCTGTGCAGGTGGGCCTTGGTGGGAAGGATTGTGTGTTATGCAACATGCCCTGGACCATTTACTTAGAGTCTCTAATTTGCATTGGTGGTGGAAAATTAGGGTTTCAGCCTACCTCGAGGGGCATATGTATATATATGTGTGTGTGTATGTGCATGAGGACTGAGATAATTCATAGTGGGTGTGATCTTTGTTTGCAACATTTTGGGAGGTGCTGGGTGGTCTCTGTTCCCATACTGCTGGGGCCAGTCAGCCCTTGCCAAAGAAAGCAGCACAAATTTTTTGTTGTCACATTCAGGACAGTGATTAACTCACTAGTGTTCCTTAATCCTATCCAGTCATTCAGTTGCTCAGATAATTTGGCTTAATACATTCCTCTCCTTCCTCTGATCCAGGGAGACTCTGGGGGCCCTTTCAGCTGCTACAGAGACAATCACTGGGAAGTCCATGGGATTGTCAGTTTTGGGCTAGTTCCCTACCGTAACACCTACCAGAATCCAACAGTCTTCATATGTGTGTCAGCCTGCGTGGACTGGATCTACAATGTAAGTTCCTTAATGCCTTCAGTGTGACCTGATGTGTCTCCCATGAGAGCAAGGGAGTGCCAGAGGAATTGGAGTCCTTCATTTTTTAAACAATTAGGAATTGAACGGGGAGATCTGGGGAGGTCTAAAATCAGGATATTTGATGTTACTTTTGGTGTAGTCAAACAATTGTAAGGAAGGAGCTGCTGCCTTGGAGCTGAAATGCTCTGCTGAGGACCATGGACAAAATTCAAGCCAGGCAGGAACTGAGCTCTGTGTCCAAAAAATTATCATCACCATTCACCCAGGCAAAACCTTGCTGCAGGAAACCATGGAAGGAATTAGCTGAATGCAAGCATAAAGCATCTCTACAAGTTCAAGTCCTGCAGTGTCACACTATTCACCCTCAGCTTTACATTTGGGAATGAACAATGAGCTCTTTGCTTCCAGAAATAATGTCTAGCACAAGGACCAGCTGTTTCCTGAGCAGAAGGGATGGTTTTGTGGAAATGCCACTGTAAACCATGGCTCCTGCTGGAAAAAAAGATGGGGAGACGTATTTTAAATCAGTGTGAGGAAGAGGGAGGCTACTGCAGTCCATAAACCTTTTTAGGTGGGAACAGGTTGTTAGAGCAGTCCCCTAGCCCAGCTGGGAACAAGCCCTTCTTCAGAGCATTACCTGGGATGAAGATGTTTTATGCTGTCTCTCTGTTGAATTCACCTCTTTTTTGTTTTCCAGACTATGACAAATAAAGGGGGTTTCTAGAGAAGGATCAGCTGGAATTGGAATTGGCATTGGAATGAGTTGCACAGGGGTGTAGTAGAGTCATCATCCCTGGAGGTGTTCAAGAGGCATCTGGATCTGGCACTGGGTGATATGGTTTAGTGGTTTAGGGCTCACAGTGGTGGTGCTGGGTTGATGGTTGAACTTGATGATCCTAAAGATCTGTTCCAACCTTGATTATTGTATGACTCTATGGCTGGGGCATGAATATGAGAAGAGCTAGAATGAAGTATCTCTGCTCATGAACTCTCATCCCTTCTATGCCTCTCTGGGCTATTAATAGCAAGGTTTGGCTAATGGTGTAATAAAGTCTCAGTGACTGCAACCAGTGGTCTGTTGCTGTGTCTGCTCAGCCTTAGGCACCATCTCGGACCAGGTCAGCAAGGAAGGAGGTTCCAGCAAATGCCCCAGTCTGTGATGGTGTCCTTGACTTGGGACTGGGCCATGGCAGCACATATGGCTCTTCAGGGCTGTCATTTTGGCATCAAACCCACCTGCAGAAAATTACTAGGATCCTTACTATCTCACTGAGGGATTCCTTAGGGATAACCCCACCAGCAGTGAAGGTAGCACAGTGGCGCAAGAGCAATAGTGTGACACTGCTGGGCACAAGTATAAATATTCCTATCTCGTTCTATTCTCACAGCAGCCACCAGAAGTTTTTCTTGCAGAACTGGGTTCTCCTCATATTCCTAGATGAACTGCCTCGATATAGTGCTGCTCATACAGAGAGCATCTGTCTCAAGTGTATTGGAAAAGTCAACCCATAGAAAGCCCAATTCATCTAACTTATCCTTAAATTCACTCTGTATAGGGTGATTTTTTTTAAATTCAGTTTTTAGAACTAAGAGTATAGAAAAGAGCATTTCTGGAGGGTGCTTTTCTAGTGGGGAAGCAATAAATTCAGTGTAAAACAATCCACTGCACTGCAAGGTGTGCAGGGACGTATATTCAGCCAGCTGGGCAAGCTTATCTGCAGGGGATAATATTTCCAAATAAAAGCCATATCCCTATGAGACACACATCAGGGTGGGTAAAGGGAGAGAAGGTTGAAGAGAAGGAGATATATGTGTGCAATGAAGCAAGATTCGTCTTTTGATGAACTACAGAACCATCCCTGGAATTGTTCAAGGCCAGGCTGCATGGAGCCTAGAGCAACCTGGTCTAGTGGAAGGTGTCCCTGCCCATGGCAGGGGTTGGGACTAGATGATCTTTAAGGTCCCTTCCAACCCAAACCATTCTGTGATTCTATGAACTGCAAAACCATCTTGGAAAACACAGGGAATCCCACATCCTTCCCTCTCCCCCTTTTGCTGTGTATGAGATGCACATTTAGGAATGAAGGACATTGATTTAGCTCTTTTTCCAATTTAAGCCACTTATGTCCCATCTCTCTTAAAACCTGCACATACCTAGGGCATGGTAATTTTTTTTTTGCAAAATCCTCTCTTTGGGGAATGCACATTTCTCCTCTCCAAAAGCCACTAGAGGGCATTGGCCAACCGAAGGAATCCCCGACACAGTTATCACCGACTGCTAAAGAAGTTTTGCAGGCCAAGACTGATAACACGGCATGTCTCAGCCTTGCACCCTGTCCTCCGGGTTTGCTTGCAGACCCACAGATAAGCAGTGACACACAGGAGCTGCTTTTTGCTGCCGTTATCCTGAGGTCAGATCTGCAAACTGATAAATCTTCCTTATTATAGCAAATGAAAATGAAACCAGTGGTGCTTTCTTTAAGGCTTGTGAAGCAGCAGAGTCCTGGCTGTATTTTTGGCTCTCAGCTTTATTGGGCTGCACTTGGCAGCATCTCCTGGCCACTCAGTAGTTTGGCAATTCTCCTCTTCTGACAAGTTAAAAAAACACTGAATCTCAGCTTTTCTACCCTTTAATATTACTGAATGGGTTTTGCTCCTTTTAAGACAGCATGTGTAATTTCTGCTGCTAGATCGTAGATCATACGATCACAGAACGGTTTGAGTTGGAAGGGATCTTAAAGATCATCTAGTTCCAATCCCCTACCATGGGCAAGAACATTTCTGAAAGAGCCTGAGTCTCCTATGTCCAAGGAATGTCTCTTTTAAGAGCACTAAACAGCCACATGTCAGGAGCACACTGGCATATGAGATCTTGGCCTGACTATATTCAAGTTTTTCCCTTGAGTTTCAGAAGGAATTAAAAAGACACAGATCAAAGGCTTTGGGAAATGAGATTTTTTTTAAAGGAAGCACCTCAAACCACTTCCAAGAATTACTCTGAAAATAAGAAGTGAAATCTTAGAGTGCCTGGTGGGTTTGGTTCTGGAGGGTCAGCCTGATGCCTGGGCTAGGGATCTAACCCTGTGTACTCAGTGCATAGGCCATGGGGGGATTTGGGGATGTCACATAGGGTCCCAGTTTCTCATCAGTCTCCATTCTTGTCCTGGGCTGAGCAGAGCTCGGAACCATCAGGGATGTTGCTGCTCCTGGGACCACATTACCAATTTAATGAGTATGTATGTGCCTTGCCACAACCCAAAACACCACAGCCTACCCCTGTTTGTCACCTAATGCGACAGTGGTGACAGGCTGTCCCTGCTTCCCGTGCAACTGCCCACAGTCTCCATAGGACAGCCATGGCCATCAGGTGTTTGAAATCTCTTGTCACAAGCTGCTCTGAAAGCCAGGCTGGACATTGCTCCCTTAAATTCTTCCTCCACATGAGCAAGGTCTGGACCCATTCCTACACCAGCCAGGAGGAGAAACCTCAGGCTGCACCCGCAGGAGGAGGAAAATCAGGTGCTGGAGACATACAGCTCTAATTCAGGGTCATTATCACGTCCCCAGTGCCAAGAGCAGTGTTTCTTTCCATGTTTCGATGACAGGAACAGCTTGTGCTGCTCAGCTGTGATTTATTGCGTAGGCTAAGAGGGAGGCGGAAGCCTGGCAGCACACGGACAGGGCACGTGTGCTTCTCCTGTGCCTCATGTACCTCTCACTATGCAAGTGCCTGGCTAGAGCTACTTGTTCCTCAGTGCTGCTGGGCAAAGCTGTGATCCCAGGAGCTCACCTTGGAAAGCATGTGAAAAATGCAGTGCTTCACACAGGATTTACTAATGTGGATTTTAGGTGTTACAGCAGTATCCTATCCCGTGTGTGGAGATACTAGGTGTTACAGCAGTATCCTATCCCGTGGTATGGGGAAAGCATGGCTGGGCACAGTATGATGTCCACATCCTTTTCTTCAAAACTAGGTGCTGAGAATGCAGCTAAATCAGGGAACAAGCTAGATTTGGGAAAACTGATGCTCCCTGTGTCTTTATGGTGAGCAGAAATAGGAGACAACCATGGCAACAAGACTTATCTCCTGGGGCTGGCTGCACCGGGTGTAGGGTGTTCAGTGGGGTGTAGGTCCAGCCACAGCACCTTCAGCTATTTGGGGTGGTAAGGCTGTAGGTGCTGTGAAACACAGCTTGGGAGCGTGGGGATCAAATACAGCCATCAGTGCTATTTGAGATGTCTGAGAACATCCCATCCCATCCTACTATGTCAAAGGGGCACATCTCTTCTGAGGTCCCATGTCATTTCCACCAGCCCCATGGGGATGTCTTCATACCCCTGTGCACCTCAGTTGGCCCGAAACACAACAGAGCAGGGCAGCTTTAAAGTCACACAGAGATAAGCTCAGCAATGTGGCCCTCAGCCATACCACAGCTCCATAGAGATGTTCTGGTTATAGACATCTCCTCAAACAAATCCTGCCCTGGGGTTGCTGCACTTTATCAGAATAACCCCCAAAATCTCCAGTCAAAATTGTACCATTCCTTCACCCAATCATTCCCTTGCACACTTGAGGGCAAAAATTATGAATATTTGGGAGTATGGCTACAAGGAGCTACCTTACCTCCTGACAGCTATTCAGCCTTAATTACCAGAAAGCACTTTGGGATGCTTTGACTATGAAAAGTACTTAAGGACCATTAAGTTCTCATAGCTGTTTATTCCAAAGTAGTAGCCAAGTATTTATTTCCAGGGAAGTGTAGTAGATAATAGTTTCCTGTGCAGGGTATCTCAGGGGAGCAGGTTTATTTTGGAGGGAGATCCTTCTATGCTATCCATCCTGGTGGCAGGGTTCTCCTGTAATGTTTTACCCTGGCATGTAGCTCATGTGGTCCCCGAGGAATCAGGTCCCCAGGCCATCTGATCCTTTCAGCTTCCTCAGCTGGACTGACCTGAAAGTCTTCTGTGCTTGTGACAAA